TTTGATTTAAATTTAGACTTTCTTTAGGGTTTTTAAATATCAAAAGCAAAAATTAATGTAAGTGGCGAAATAGCGTAATTTTGTGGTAAAATGTGGAAAAATTACGCCAAAAGCGGAAGGGTAGGGGTTCGCCGTGCCTGCCCTAATTTGAAAGGTGAGAGGCCTAGGGATGAGCCCGGGTTGGGGTCTGGAGGGCCACAGACCTTTAAGGAGGGAGGAATGTGGGGCAGCCGGGTTCATGCCGGTGGCCGATGCTCGTTTGTAGAGCACCTGACCGGAGTTTGGGGGCCCGGTCAAACCCGGGCTGGGCCCCCATTCCCTTCCTTTCACAATCTTCTAAACAAAATGCAATGGTCTTTTGGTAAAAGTCTTCAAGTTTTTCCCCAGCATATGTTAAATGATACACTTTGATGTGCTTATATTGGTTTGTAGGGGGATTGTAAAGAGGCCTAAAAATAGTAAGACAATAGTTTACAAAGATAGTACCGGTACATTATCAACAGGGAGAGGAAAGGTAGATTTTTTTCATCCAGTAGGAAGCTGTAAAATTTTCAGGTAAAAAAAAGATCTCGTTATTACGAGTTAACTATATGTTATAACGAGAAAGATCTCGGAAGAAAGAGAGGAAAAAAAAAATTCCATTTTTTTTTTTTTGGGAATTTCCCACCAATTGGATTTTTTGGGCCCTACTTGGAATATAGAGCTAAACAGTTTGTCAGCGCAACTCCTCAAAATGCAAAATTTCTTCAAACTTTGCAGATATTTATAACACAATGTGTAGATGTGCAAAACCTGGAAATTTCGAATCTTTCATTTTTTTTTTGGGGAAAATTTTTGCACTTTTCAACTTAGATTTTTGGTCATATTTTGAGTAAAAAATTTCAGCTCTTAAACTTTTTGGGGGGCATGGGGTATGCAAGCTTGCTACTTTTTCTTTTGTTTTTTAAAACAATTTTGTTATCCTTTTTTTTTTTTTTTAAAATACTAAAATTGAAAACCAAAAAAAATAAGAAAGTAATAGTTTATGCTACTTTTTTATTGCTAATTTTTTTTTAGTTTTAGAAAAACTTTAAAAAAGTATACTTTTGTGGTACTGGCCAGGTAGACTGAAAGCCAATGACCTTTTTTGTACTTTTGTTGGACTTATTTTTTTTTTCACTGTATTTTTAACCTAATTTGGACTCTGTCTTTTTTCATTGTACTTAAAATTTACTTTTATGAGCTTAAGGATATCCGATCCTCAGCCAGGAAGGATAACCCCAAAAAATTAAATTTTATTTGAAATGCATCAAAGTGAAGCTTGAAAGTAAAATTTTTTTCATGCAACAATTTTCATTATGTTCATTTTATAAGATTCAAGGTTTTTGGAAGTCTTAGAAAAGGTCTTATAAAAGTTGACTTTTATAGCCTATTAAAGGGGAAAAAAAAATACAGTTTTAGAGAAAGAATATTTTCTTGAATCCAGACTTAGATACTAATGCTTATTAGCATGATATGATTTAAAGAGTGATTTGTGGTGTCTTGCAATGATAGCAAAAGCCTTATACACTATGTATTGTAGAATATATGACAGAAATAGAAGACAAAAAATACCAAAAAATTCATGGAATTTCTCTAATACCGGGAATGCATGTTTTTTAACTAAAAATATAAGTTGATCAATTTAAAGAGAATTCATTACTGATATTCCAATTCGCTTTTTCTGCAAAAATATTGGAGATCTGACATTTTTTCCTTTATAATATGATGCATTTTAATTTTTAGCTTTTAAGAAATCCTGTGGATAAATCTACATAACTTTGTGGATTCAGAGATACTTTTATGAGTATTTTTGTTACTTACCTGCTAATTTTATAAACCTGAGGATCGGACAAACCTTAAACTTTCATGGCAAAATAAATTAGATAACAAAAAGAAAAAGATATGTTTCCTTCAAGTTTACTATTCTTTCTCCACTTTGTTTCGGAGGACTTACACAAAGCACAGTTTGTCACTTACGATAACCATTTTTCACAGTTTGTAAATGAATTCGATCCAAATTTTGCTATTCTTTCTCCACTTTGTTCGGGAGGACTACACAAAACACAGTTTGTCATTAATGGTATCACAAACGCACACATCAGTTATGTCTCTAACGTTAACTGCTGTAAAGTCGTTCTCAATGCAAACTCGGTCTCACTGCAACCATGTGCTGTTGGATGTGTCTGCGAGGGATGTTGTCTTGTTCTTCAACTGTTCTGTTCATCTCCTTCACCAAGGCACAAAGATTGACCACAACAGTTCTCATTACACTGTGGTGAACAGAGTTGTATGTTGAACAAAACTATTCACTCTTCCAAAGCTATCTTCATTAAAGTGAATCACTCAATTGTCTTTTCTAAACGTGGATCTGTACTCCACAATGAACAATTTGTTGATGCGCATCGAGTCTTTTGAAAAAGATAACAGCCCTGAAATTTCCACCCACTAGTAAAATTGCATGCTGCTTCTCTGTTGACATTGGTCGGCTATGGTATGCACCAACAACAAACAACTTTTCACTTATTCTTTCTTGTGTTGACTGATGTTTTTTGTCCATCATTCTTTTGAAAAGCTCTTGTTCACAGCTTCCCTCCCGTAATGTTTCGGCCATACTTGGGAGAGATTGATGGACACATACATACAAATTGCTTCTTGATTCCTGAGTCCATGGAACAACCGTCTCATTGACTTCAAGTAGAAACATGATGTGGACTAGGGGGGACCCTGATCAACGACTCTGTCAGATGCGAAGGAAATGGACATTGGAAATTGCATACCTGTCACCATACAGGGCTGGGATGTTCAACACGATTCCAACAGTATTCTCTTGTTCTGATGAATGTCTTTCAATGTGATTTTTTCCTGAAGAAGAATATAAGTGGCATACACCAGGAGTGAAAAAATTGGTCTGGGGACAGAATTCCATAGAGACATTTCAAACTTAAAACAGAAGGAAGTTTACACATAGAAGAATACAGTGCATATAGTACACAGCAATTCCTCAAAGAATGATAGGTATAGGAAATCCATGCAAGTCCCTTCACACCTTGAACTGTTCCTTTGTTTCGCTCCGCCGCCTCTGCATTTTGCACATGGGAATTGTTGGTTCTAAGCTCATGGTGACCGTTTGGACTTTCCATGTTGTGTCCCTTGTCTACAGATTTTCCCGGGGTATAGCAATACGGACACCCAAAGAGCCCACTGAACTGAACCATGCATATGTTTTGAAAGAGGCATCTGGCTGGTGCGTCGACGCCATTCAGTAAATTCCTCGGACCAGCTGACAATTTACATCGAATCCTGGAACAAATAAAGAAAAAAATGTATACTGGTTTCATTTGCTAATTGTTAGTGACAACTTTATCTAAAGTTAAGACATTTTCTACTAATCTTGAACATGTTTAAATAATTTCTCTTAGATTTTATGAAAACTTATACAATGAGATTAATTTATATGCCACAAATTCCACTCACCAGAAGTGTCTGTTGAAACTGTAGCTCTACAGGTTTGTACTTATAACAAAGAAAGAGAAAAGTAGCAGTTGGGACTTAAAACTAAAAAAGCAATAAATAGAATAATGATTGTTGATTAAGCTTCTTTTTGAGGCAAAATTTCAATATGACTATAACTATTAGAAGTTAAGTAGCTTTTAATAAAATTTTACAGAATTTTCAATTTAAATATTTATGGCAAATAAATCAAATATCAAAAACAAAAAACTGATATTTATGTTTATTATCACTCAATTTTACTGTTGATTTTATGCAGTCGTGACATGACGTCGTGATCCAAATTTCCGATCATCACACTGGTTTTCTGAATCAATATCACCACTCTCTGAAACTGATGTACTACGCAGGCATATGATTTTTTTTTCTTGCGCGTGTAAAAATCCAGTGTGGTGATCCGACAAGTCGGATCACGACGTCACGTTATAATGTAAAATCAAAATTAAAATTAATAGCTGAAAACTGTACATGTAGCTCTCCGAAAAAAAAAATAGATTGATAGACCGTTCTGTCAATACATTTTTTTTCGGAGAGTTGCACTGCTGCAGCCGTAAAATTGAGTGATTCACATAATAAAATAACATATCCAAAAGTATGAGAAAAAAATCCACGCAAGTACCCTAATGTAGATTTTCCGCAAGATCCGTGGAATTCCATATCAAATTTCATGGAATTGCACGTATATATATTGTTCCGCAGAATTACACGGAATTCTTGAGAGTATTGGGACGGAACTTTTTCTGGAATGGTATGGAATTTTAAATCTAGCCTGGAAAAAAGCGGAACAATGCTAGAATAGACATTTGCGGAGGAAATCCGTGGAATTCCAGATTATTTGTAAATTTAAGAAATTCCATGAAAATCCGTGGAATTCCAGGAAAATAAAATGGAAACTGTATTAGTACCAAATAATTACAAAAAAAAATTGATAACATCACAAATTTTCATAGATCAAATCTATATTTGCAAAATAAAAAAATCACTGTTTCTTTTACAATGTTTTTGAGACAAATATAATAGCATATACCTCTCGGACGTACAATATAAGCACACTTTTTAAATGTATGTATTCTCACTGAAACTTCAAAGTATTTTATATCAAAGGTTATTAACAAAAATATCCCAAAAAAAATATGATTACTGGAGGATCGCTTTGGTTAAATTCATGATAATCAAGGTATGATATACCGGTACATGTATGTAGTAAAGTAAAGTCTGCATTTTGTGTTAAAAATAAGAGGTAAGATTCATTAAATGACATAGGCCAAGGATTGGGAGAGGTCATTGCAACCTCAGCAGGATAAACATTTACAATAAACTGCCAGTGGCCCATGTAAATTTACTGTACAAAGTTAGTGACTACAGTGACAAACACATGTAGTAAATGCAAAAATATATGTACCACATAACTACATTGATACAAAGATCCCATAAAATCAACAGTTGCTATTTTCCCAATGTATGTGCCAAAGATCCCAATTGTGGAAGATCCAAAACTTCTGACATGTTGATAGAATCACTTCCTCACAGATATCCCATGAAATTTGCAATAGAGGGTTGACAGATAATTGGCGTCACGAACGGATTCACTTTTAGTACGAATGCTCAGCAAGTTCGATGTTGATCATTCCAACAGACACTTCAAACTTTCCTTGCACAATTGCTGAAAGAGGAGATGACCATTAAGATGTATCATTAATGATATCCATATAAATATATGACAAATAATAAACTAAACTCTACAAAACAATTGGTTCTTTCTACTTGGCAGATCAGTTTACTGTATATTATGAATTCATTATCTTGCAATTTTTTTTTCAAATAAGGATTAATTCTGATAAATGTAAAAATATGAAAAGTTTATAGACAACAGACAACCACCAGACTGTGACACTGATCAAAAAATTCAGTTAGGCCTTAAAATGGCTCAAGTGAGCTAAAATGAAAAGGCTAGAGCTGAAGCTCAATTCCTGACTTACATTGAAAAATAATGTAATTTCAATTCATCTGATTTTATTGATTAAGAAAATAATTAAGAAATCTTACCAGTTTTTTTTCATACAGCTCTTGTCTTAAATCTTGTGAGCATCCGGATTCCTGTAAAATGCACGTATACTTCATAGAAGATTATAGCTTTTTGATTTAAAATAATTATACATACCCGATTACCCGTGTAGTTAGCATGTTTAGATTACCTTTCAGAAGTCATTGTTATAAATTATTGAAATATATGGAAATTAAGCATGTTAAGAATATAAACCTTTAAATGTTGTTTACTTGGCATACATGTAGTTGCAATATTTTTTTAATCTTATGCTAAAAGACACGAATTAATAAAATCAAAGTTAGTTTATTTGTTTTGAACTATAATTTGAACTGGTTCTCACCATATTCGCAAGCCTAGTGTCTGATTGGCTAAGCATCTATACATGTATATCCACTTCTATCAAACGCAAGGGCTGTGAAAATCATCTCAGGTAATGGCTTATGTAGCAACTATTAAAAGAATCAAAACATGCAAGATAAGAGCTGAAAATGGTAATGAACATGGATCACAAAATATATAATTAATTTCATGTAAGTAGTATAAACCGTCTGGCTGGCCGGGTCAACTGAGTGCACTTTTGGGGCTGAGGAATAGGCGGGTCAACGGAGTGCAGCCCCTGAGGGGCGATAGCCGGGTCAATAGAGTGCAGCCCCTGTGGGAGGATAGGCGGGTCAAGGGATGCAGCCCCTGTGGGGGATAGCTGGGTCAATTCAGTACATATAGCCCCTAAATAGGGGGGTTTACAGTGTTTCATTACACAAGCCA